CGCACAGCACTGTAGATAGTTGCTCTAGGGCTGGCTGGGATCTTGCAGTGGTCACAACATGATCCAGAGCCAGGGCAGAGCCACAATTTGCAGCCTATACTTTCCAGGCAGGGGTGTGCAGGCAGAGGACTGCAGCTCTATGCTGGCTCCTTGTAGTGGTGACAACAGCTGGGGCAGAGCTGCGATCTGCTGCCTGCACTCCTCTGCCTGGAGCAAGCAGACTGCATATCACAGCTCTGCACCACTCTGTCACTGCTACAAGATCCCAGCCCAGCCCCGAGGCAGCTCCCCACCCCGCTGTGCACCCCACCAAGGTGGCTGGGACTGGTCTCCACAGAAACGCTGGCCCCACGCTATCATAGCACAACTGCTGCTGGGGTCTCCATGGAAACTGGCCCCAGCCACAGGGGCAGGAGCTGCTGGGAAATGGAGTCCACTGGCAGCTGGACTTTGCCCACCCCTTATCTAGATGGTGCCAAAATTTCCTTAGAAACTTGACAATGCTAACTTTAGCAGAGGAATTGAAGGCACTCAGCATTGTGCAATAGAGGTTTAAGCCAAAGCCTGTTGAAACAAAGACTGGAAATGGTCCCATCAACATCAGTGGGTACAGATAAGACCCAAGATGCTCAGCATTTTGAAGGATTGGGCCCAAAAGTTTCACTTTCAGCAGCACTGAAAGGAACAATATGCTGTATTTTCAAGCATTCAGTATGCCCCAAAGTAAAATATGTACCTTGTTTTTGGAAGCCAGAATGTTGAAACAAAAATTTTTCTAGAATCACGGCCCACTGCATGACATAAAATAAGACCTCCTGGGAACAGAGTATCCAGGAAATGCGGCATCCTAGGAGCCAGTATGAGTGAGGCCAGCAGGAACTTCTGGGTATGGCAGATCTCCTGTGATGCCCCATTTCCTGGACACTCTACATCTCCAGGAGAACTAACTCCATGCAGAGACAACCCTAGCAGGGTGCAGAACAGGCAAATCAGCCTGTGCAGAGATCAGACATGAAGAAGCCGGTGGGGAGGGAAGGGGGGAGGCATGGTAAGTAGGCAGATGTGAAGGTGGCGGTGACAGCACAGAGTCACCAGCACTAGGCAGGCCCTGCAGGAGGGGCCACGGTTGCTCCACCTAGTTCTGTGGGGCCCCCCCAAGCACAGGGCCCAGAGCAATTGCCCTGATTCGCTCCCCCCACCCCAGGACAGCTCTGACTCCATGTCACATGCAGTTAGATCCCAAACTACTGCAATAGTAAGACTTAGTTCTTTATAGCAAGTAGCTGTTTATATAAGTTCCTATAAAGTGTTCTTTCCACACAAGTATCATCCAGATTTCCCTCATCTTGGGGGATACCGGGAACTCACTTCTTGCTTCAGGCACAAGTTACAGTGCTCAGCCAATATCTATGATGTGAGAGGGTTAACACAGGACTCCTTCCCTTCAGCTTATTGCAGCAGTCATCTTGGCAGCTGCACAGCATGCACAGTTTCTCCAGGCATGCTGCTCTTCCAGTGGAGACAACAGCTTCCCTGCTTAAAACACAAACTGATTTTGGGTGGCTGATTCTGGGGAGGAAATGTGTTCGTCATATGTGAGAAAACATGGTATTGAACAGATTAATATTTGGTCTAGTTTTCCACTTTCCATATTACATTGTTATTTCCACATTTAGAAAGAAAAAGTTGAAAATAAATAAATAAATAAAAAATAGCTGAAAAACATCCTGAGCTGGTAGCACTGTGTACTGATGACCCTAAGTGCAACACAGTCAAAACTCAAGCGTATTTAGATGCTGAGACAATGGGCCATGCTGGAGCTTCAAAATGGCAGAGAGCTTCTGCTAGCACCTTTCAGTGATTAACTGTTTTAGAACTTTCATAATTGAAAATTGGGGTTTTAACAGTCTGAATAATTTGCGTGTTAGAGACAGGCCTAGTGTGGGAATGCTGGGCTGCTAAACCAGGCTGCATCCAAATGAATCACCAGTTGGATGCGCCTCCTACTTCAGGCTTGCTCTTTCAGTACCAGAAGTTGACACTTTGCCTTCATATGAAATAACCTCCTTAAAACTTCTTCTGTTATTATTTAATAGCAAGACAATAAAACCTCACTGTATGAATTTCAGCTTCTGTGAAATGTGTTTTTTTTCCTCCAAGTGGGGGACAACTCATATACAGTTCTATCCTGCAAGGTGCTAAGCACTCTGCCTCTGATTCAGGAAAGTACTTACACAGGAGATCCAGGAACCTACTGCACTAGGGGTGCCAACACATTCTGATTAGACCATGCCCAAGCTGAGTCGAGTGCTGGAGCGTTCTAATTAAAATGCTCCAGCATGCTGCAGCCTCTCAGGTTTCAAAATGGCAGCTGGGGTGCTTGAACTAAAGCTCACTGAATAAGCTTTAGTTAAAACACCCCCAGAGCCATTTTGAAGCACAGGGCATTGAATACATGAGATGCTGTAGCGCTTTAATTAGAGCAGCTCCCAAGAACCTGCTCTAATTAAAATAGCCCCACCCCAGAGCACTTGTATAGGAACTCAGTGTTCCCAAGCTCCAGGTTAAGCATGTGCTTATGCATTTTTCTGACTTTGTAGCAGAGGGTTTAGCACCCTTCAGGACAATGCTTACTGAAACCAAATTTTCAACCAAACTGCTAAAACTGAAAGCCAATCTCCATTGACATATTTAGATATTTGGGGATGACCTGCATACTATAATCATGCACAAAATGAAATCCTGCCCCACCCATAGCAATTATATCAAGGTATGAGAAAGAGGAACAAAAACACCAAGTAAGAGTACGCAAAGATATCTGGGGAGGTTAGGAGGAGATTAGATCAGGTTAAAAATCACCCTCCAATCTAAGGTAAGTCAGGATGGGGGAGCTACTGGGGGAACTTGATGAGATCGGGAGAACTAGCAGGATCCATGGGGGACGGGGGTTGGAGGGAATCATTGGGCGTGGAGGTTGGCAGGATCAGAGAGGCTCTCTGATCTTGCCAAACTTGCCTGGATTCCCCCCCACAACACCATCAAACGGCTCCTGATCCTGCAAACTGGTCCTGCTTACAGGGCTGGTTTAGCCAGCTTTCACCAGCCCTGGGAACCTGATTGAAGTAAGTCAGGGTGGAGGGAGGGGTAGGCAAATCGGGAGGGTGGCACAATTAAGAGGGCTCACAACTCTGTGGGGGGAAGGCTAGCGGGGGGGGGGCTCTCCACCCTCCCAGGACCCAGGTGATTTTTTTTAATATT